ACCTAAGCTAGCTTAACAGTGCTAAACCATTGGGGCTTTTGTTTCAGACAAGTTCTGAAAATTTAGTATATAACACCAAGCAGAACTGCAACTTCTGGAATAAATTTACAACCTCAGATGCTGGGCTCCTCTCCAGGGTGCTGATGCAACAGTGCAGTTCTGCTCTGCACTCTTGGAGCGTTTGTTTATTAACTGCTTTCACTCTGATACAATTTTTTTTTTTTAATGAATGAAGAATTAAGTGCAGAGGTTGACTGAAATATGCTTGGCTCATTGTAAAGTTGCTATGAAAAACAAAACAAAGTCCAAGTTCAAATATCTGTCCAATATGCAGAAAGAAACAAAAAATCAAAACGTAGTTTAGTATTTTAAGGTTGAGTCTCTCCTGTTTCCTTCTGCTCCGGAAGTGATCAACGGCTTATCTAGTACAAAGTTAAAATGAATGTTCTTCAAATACAAACAGAAGATCGTGCTCTTTTTATCCTTCCCAGCTCAAGCATTTATCTGTCTATCTGGGGAAAAAAAAAAATGAAATGACTAGAACACTGACACCAAAGCAACCTTCTAATGGAATTGGACTGAATTGCCTATATGGTAAAAGCTCCCTTACATGACAGAATAAATCATTACTACTTCAAAAGGTTGTTTACTCACATTGTACGTCATTAAATCTGTGATGTTAGAGCATGAACAGTTCAGATCTGGAACACAAAGTCTTCTTGAGAAACCTGGAGGACTGATGATTCACTAGTGGCAGCAATGATAAAAACATAAATGCAAAGATCCATGGCAAAAAAGAGTACAGAACTCCCAGAAATGCACTCTTAAAATTCCTTCCTTACTCATCTACCAAAGGATAGGTCACATGGCTGGTCTACCATCTCTGGAGAACATTGACAAAATGCTAACCTTTCCAGCCACATCACTGTTAGCAGGAATACTCTTTTTTGGTTAGGAAACAAGCCTATAAAACGTAGTCATGTTATCTTTATGCCTACACTGCATACCATTGGAACTAGCATTGCATGTGCGACTTTTTTATCCGGATAGTGGAAGATTGCAGATTTTTGGAGACTGCTCCATGAGGGTGGTAAGTAAAGTCTTCAGTCATTCATTTGTTTTGCTTGCAAAGTTTTCAGAGTGAAGCGATTGATGTAAAACTGAACTTTGGTTGTTTAAAAGTACACTGGACTTTGTACTTTGATTGCTGAGTGCTTTGATTTTTGACTGCCGCCACTTTAAAGTTTGAAGTGAGCTGCAGGAGATGACAGCACAGCAGAGCAACCTGAACAGGGAGGCATTTTCCCAGTGCTATATTCAGGCTCGGTTTTTATTTGGATATTGAAATCTCTGAATATTCTTTTCAACTACAGATCTGGTATGCGCTGCTACTGTACAACCAACGGGAGGCATTCGCTTACCCAGCGTGGTGAATAGATGGTGCCTGCCTATATTGTGCTATATTCGAAATCCGAATTCCTGTGTATCTTATCTATGTGTTTCTGTGTAATATTGTCACAGGGAACACACTGCCGCTGAGCAGCGCACATCTCCCTCATGAAACCGACAGAACTCATTTTTTAGGAAACTGAAAATTGTACATAACCAGCATTTGCCCGAGGGATGTTACATCAGCGTCTGAAACGAACGCAGAACGAGGACTGCTGTCACCACGCGTCTGAGAACAACGACTGAAGATTTTCACGAGGAATTCTTTTTGCCGTGGGAAAACCGCAGCGCACGAGGAGAAGGCAGCACCGGACCGGCCGTTCCCGCTCGCCCCGCTCTCCGCTGACGGCGCA